CTGCATCCCAATTTATTTCTCCATATTCTAACTGATGGATATTATGTTGTTGCCTGTTTTTATTCTCTCTCTCTCTCTCTCTCTCTCTCTCTCTCTCACACACACACACACACACACACACACTTTTATGAATGCAGTTACAATAAAATGTCATGTGTGGCAGCTACTCTGACATTCAAAGTGGTCTGCATCTGGGAGGGGGGAGAGGAATGGAGGGGAAATACAGAAGAGGTGCCTTCTCTATGGATATTATTCTACTATTTTGTAAAAAAGACCCAGGGTTCATGTGGCACAATGTTCACTTTTATTACTTATCTAAGGATGTGAGGTGCATTATCTTCACTGCTACTTGCGTTATCTTCACTGCTACTGTCCTGCAGCTCCACCAAGAGAAATAGATACACAAGAAATGCAGCCCACTGGGTCTCTCTGGCTCTCTACTTCCTGTCTCAAAGTCTTTCCAGGGTGGCTGCAGGCATAATGCAGGCATCTTCTACACTATGGGGTGTCTAGAAACAATAGGTTATGGGAATGATAGGTGGAAATATCAAGCCCCTTGCTCACCTTCACCAAGGAAACATCAGAAAACATCCTAACACTCAGCATGTTTGAGGAGGGGCAGGTGTCTGCTCTGGAGGGAGAATGATATGCCCTTGCACAGAGAAAGCAGGAGCGCAGCACAGCGAGAGCTGGGTCACCGGGACGGACATACACAGGACACGCCAAGAGGAGGACGGGCCATTAGGACTTCCATGGAGGGCTTGGCCACGGTCATCTCACGCCTGCATTCTCACTGAATCACCCAATGATGCTGTAGCCAACCACCTGCCATTATTCACAAGGTATAATCTAGGCGATTTTGGTTTCCCGGCTGGCATCACCGGAGAGTGAGGCCTAGCATCTCACCTGGATTTTGACGGCAGCAGATGTCTCCTAGGGACGCGCGGCCAGACTGAGGCAAGCGAGGAGGATCATGTCTGACAACAGCTTCAAGTGTGATGCTTCCTGGCTGGGCAGGAGCTCGGGTGAGGTGGCCACAGCCTCCTCTTTACCATCTCTCTATCCCTCCCTGGGGATGCAATATCCAAAGTTCCTCATTATACAGGCAATTTTCCATGCTGATCCCTAGGCAGTGCAAATCCTCCAAGACAAAGACTATAGATAGGAACTGGTGTTGGCTGATCCCCAACCCTAGGATGCCATGCAGCTCTCCATACCTCATTTTGACCACTTCCCTTTCGCATGCTTTGCGTCATGCACACACTTTTCTAATTAATTCCAGGCTTCTGGGGTTTTTTTTTAAGTTGCAAACAAATGCATCTCTAATTAATGCTATCAAGAATACTGACTCCCTGATGTTCCCCTCAGCAGGTTGTCCAGGTAATATAAACTTACTTACGGTATTGTGAGAATGCAAAGTCAGGGGTATTTCTTATTAAAAGTCATCAAATTTTTTTTAAAGATTTATTTTTTTATGCATACAAGAACTGGGGTGTAGGTCAGAGGTGTGGGGGGGGTGAGAAGATTCACCAGAGAAAAAATGGGAAGCAGAACTACTTCCCAGTAGGCAGATCTACCGAGATACACTGCTGAGGGGAGCAGCGGGGAGACAGGAGAGGTCTGCTGTGCCATGTGGGTAGCTCCCTGGCCGGGGATCAAACACATGTTGTGGTGGCTGCAGATAGCTTGGTAGCGCTGTGCCTCCAACCCCTGTGCCACCAGGGAGGCCCCAAAAGTCATCATATGTTTTCTTTTTTTTTTTCAGGGGCGAGCGCTAATGCAGTCCCCCACTACCACAAATTATGCAGTCGAGTTTCCCACATTTGGGGAAATCGCAGGGGTCAGCACATCTGGAGTGCAATGGATAAGCCTAGCCCTGGGAAAACCACCTTTGTGATCATGGTATCCCCCTGAGAGGTAAGTATCATCATGTTTTCTTAATCTTAATTTTTATCCACTCTATTTCACAACGCAGATTCTACTCTATTCCCAGATTCTGATTGCCATCAAAGCAGACAGACCAGTCACTCCCTTTCTATAGTTTTATAAACACCATTTCCAATTTTGTCCAACACTTTTAATGTTATTTCCTTCATATTGGGGGACTATCCACTAACATTATGGCTTTGCATTTTTAATTTAGCTGTGGCAAGTTACTGAAAGGCGATAGTGTGGAGGGTTGTTCATACTCTTAGTAAATTCCGTTATATTTCAACCACAGCATGAAGGGTGGAGGTAGTGTCCATTTAATGCTTACTTAAAGACATAAAACCTTTGATGACTAATATTTTAATTGTGTTTACAAGTTTATTTTGCAACATGTTAGCTCTCTCCATATAAACTTTGTGAATCTAAGGTTTTTAAGATATATTTGAAAGTCAACTTATAAGACATTTTAATGTCATTCTTAACCTCTTAACCACACTCACTTAAAAAGTTGACCAGTAAGAATTGTAGCCAAAGATATAGTTGGGGTCAAGTTGGCACAACTTGTTAACAAGTTTTTCCACAAACCATGAAGAGAAATATACATTAGAAAAATGATAAAGTTTGCAGGTGTGGGGTAAGTAAAATGGAAAAGCTTCAGGCTTTACTGCCCTCCTACCACACAAGTGCACTTGGCCAAACGTTGTGGCATGGCGTGCGTGGCATGGCGTGGTGCCGAGGACCCAGGAGTGCAGTGGAGTGTGGAGGAATCTGGCGACGAACAACGGAGAGCATAGAAACACCAACACAGCTGCTTGACCCGGTGATGAACCTACCTGGTATGAGATGGCGGTGCTACAGCAGGTAACATCAAAATAACTCAGACATAACCAGTGAGTGGGTGTCTATGAACTGTCATTCATAAGCAAGGATGTGCTTACTCTTTCCAGTTAATCATGACTAAATGTGCTAGAAGGAGATTAGGCACTTGAAACCAGAGGCAAAGGCAGAGTTTCCTTGAGGAATATGGGTGACCATAGGAGTTTCACTCAGCCTGGACTCATGAACTTAGAACACCTGTGAGTGCTGGAGAAGTCTGTTAGGAGAGTGTCAACAAGTGAAGGGTTGGTTTGGTGGTTGGCTATCTAATATTTTCAATATCACAGAGCACAGGAGTCAGGAAACTGAATTTGAAATAGAGGACTGGTGATGGTGAGGGGAATTGTGAATCTGCTAGACAAGAAAGAGTGATGGGAGGGGGAAGAGAGAGAGAGAGAGAAAGAAAGAGAGAGAGAGACAGAGAGACAGACAGACAGACAGAGAGAGAGAGAGAGAGAGAGAGAGAGAGAGAGAGAGAGAAAGATGCAGAGGCTCAGGGAGAGAATATCTACATCATTCATAAGGAATCTACAAAGGGTCCAACAGGACTGAAAGAGAAAAGAGATGAAGTGGGGGCCTCCCAGGTGATGCAGCGGTTGAGCGCTGGGTTGCGAGGCTGCCCACGGCCTCTGCAGCGCTGGTTCGATCCCCCGCTGCTCCCCGGCCACCGGAGGAGGGTCCCGCATGGCGCACAGACCTCTCCTGCCGCCCGCTGCTCCCCTCAGCAGTGTACTTCGGTCCCTCTGCCTGCTCTGCTCCCCGCTCTGGCTCTGGTGAATTCTCTCACCCTCCCGCGCTTCTGACTGTACCCAGTGCTTGTATGTATACATAAATAAATAAATCTTTAAAAAAAAAAAAAAAAAGGGATGAAGTGGAGGGATAGTAAAGAAAATATCAGGGGCCTCCCTGGTGGTGCTAGGGGTTAAGTCTCAGCACTGTGAAACTAAACTGCAGCCACTGAAGCACAAGTTCAATCCCTGGCCAGGGAGCTGACCCTCATGGCACAGCAGACCTCTCCTGTCTCCCTGCTGCTCCCCTCAGCAGTGTGTTTCAGTAGATCGACCTGTTCTGCTCCCCACTCTGTCTCTGGTGAGTCCTCTCCCTGTGCCCAACACACACCTCTGGTCTGCACCCAAGCTCTTGTCTGCATAAATAAATAAATCTTTTAAAAAAGAAAATATCAAGTAAGTAGTGTATGCATATTAGATCAACATATTCCTACACAAAGACAAAAGCAAGGTTGTCCAGGTTTGGGGGTATTTGAATAATTCTAAATTGATGTTGCCTTGTGTCATGGCAGAAATGGTGCTGGTGCTGGAGTTTAGCTGCATGTATTTTGATGGTATAGACAACAGGGGCTCCTGAAACACTGGTGATAGGATGCAAGAGAAAGAAAGGAATAAAAGACTATGGTAAATGAGAGGAAACTCTTAGGCACATGCAAGAACAGTGTTGCTAACAACTGTGGTAAGAAAGATTGTGTCCATAGCATATTTGGGGATTAACATCAGCATTTTGGTTTCTAGAAATATTTAGCTGATGGCTAATGTCAAGTGCACACTTGAATAGCTCTTCTGGAATACAGGGGAGAACTCCCTGTACACATAAATGTGGATGTCCCTAGCATTTAAATAGTCTTTAAGTCACAAATCTGAATGCTATTGCCAAAGAGAGAGAGAGTTAGAACACAGAAGAAGAAGGACTGAATCTCCAGACGAAACCCCCAGTACTCAGAGGTTGGCAAGATGAGGAAGACACATGAAAGGTGTCTCCAATGAGGACTTTCTGGGGTCTGCAGGGGCAAAGTCCACTGTGTCATTATGTTACAGGGCAAGGAGAGGGGCACCCCAGATCCCGCAAACCTGCCTGCTCTAAATAGGTTCTGCCATCCGATGCATCAACACAAAACATATGAGACTTAAATGGGAAGGAAGTTTAATATAATTAGGAAACAATACAGGAAAGGCAAAGAATATCTTTTCTAAATCAAGCATCCAAAGTTACCCATCCCCTTGTGCGTAAAAGTCCATCCAAATGGGATTGGCCCAGAGCAAGGCCCCAAAGCCTGCTACAGTCTAAACCATCTTCCAGTGGGGACCCACAGAAAAGGGTCAGAAACAACCAGTTTGGAATGGAAAAGAGAAAAATCGAAATCAAAATAAAAACCGCCATTGTTACCTCCCCACGGGTCTCACCCACATCTGTGTCACCCCGAACACGACCAAAAGGCAAGCGCAGTTTCTTCACGTGTCTCTTGGCTCCATGTGCCGCCTCCAGGCCTCCCTCTGGCTCCTTCCTGCTTCCTTCCTTCCTCAGTCTCCTCTGCAGCTTCTTCTCTCCCTGCTCAGCTCCACCCTCCTTTTGGGTGGGGCAGGGAACCTGGGACCTCCTCCTTTCCTGGGGACCCCCGTTACAATTATTCCCTCAGAGGTAGCGACAGAGAGACAAAAGGGCAGGGTGTAGAAAAAAAGATATTGCACTCATGATTTTTTTTTAAAGATTTATTTATTTATGCATACAAGAGCTGGGATACAGGCCAGAGATGCGGGGGTGGGGGTGGGGGTGAGAGAATTCACCAGAGACAGAGTGGGGAGCAGAACAGGCAGATCTACTGAAATACACTGCTGAGGGGAGCAGGGGCGAGTCAGGAGAGGTTTGCTGCACCATGTGGGTTTCTCTCTGGCAGTCCAGGGATCAAACTTGTGCTGCAGAGGCTGCGGATTGCTTCATCGTGCGGTGCTTAACCCCTTGCGCCACCAGGTAGGCCCTGCACTCATGATGAAAAATAAAACAACCGCAAACATTTATAGTCTCAAGGCCAGAGGTGACCTTGGGACAGGTAGGGACCAAGGCAGCATTTGGAGGAGGTGAGCATGGAGAGGTAGTGTTCAGAGTGGTTGTGTTATTCCTGTCAACTCTTTGTTCTAGGAATACAATGGAGTCATTGGTGAACTGGCCTCCAGGAACCAACATTCTAGCAGGTGTTGATACAAACAATACAGTAAGAAGATGTGAAATCAAATCGGTTTGTCCCAACTAGTGAAGCCCTTGGGCTGTGCCCCTGGCTCTGCTGTGGTGAGTGGGCTGAGGTTTGGGAGGGACTAAGAACTAAGATTTTACAAAAGTCCTCTGGAAACTGCACTTTTAAGGCATCCAGGGACATGAGATGTCCAAATACTGTGTGTCTTCTGCCAAAGAGTGTCTATACTTGGAAACACACCAATCCAGAGCCCAGTCTTCACGAACATGTCCAGACCAGTGCACTGTCCAGCCTGGCAAATGTCCTCCACCCCTGGGGACACTGTGGCCAAGCCATGTGAGAAGGTGACAGCGAGGAGAAGGCTGTCATGTCAGGAACCTCGGAAGTGGTTTCTATCAAAAGGCCCTTTCCAGCTGCAATTTAATTCTGTGTAATTTTCTCCTTTTGATTCAGGGCTAGACACGTGGCTCTCCCAGCAAATGGAAATTGGCAGAGTAATGACATGGCACTGCTGATATTAGGTGATAAAGACAAATGTCTACTGCATTGGTAACGTGTTCCTATCCCACCAACCCCGCTCTTAAGTTTTGTCTCTTTCTCTCTCCCCACTCCTGTGGAGAATCCCGTATGTAAAGAAACTGCTGTCTTTGCTCAGCAAAGAGCTCAGTCCCTGGTGTTTTGTTTACCTGAAGAACTTTGAGTAGTGCCTCTGATCTCTCCAGTTTTGTTTCAACACAAAACCTAGTTAATGTTGTCAGGATTCATTTTCAGTTCTGCTAATTGGATTGGGGCAAAGCCAGACACGGCAGAGCAGCTCTCCACTGGCAAACTCTCCTCCAAGCACAACTGAATGAACAAGCCTGGCCTGCTCCCTCCCATCAGGCCACTCCCCGCACTGCAGGGTCACCCATGTTTCTCACCCTGAAGGTGATCTTTTCCTTAACAATGTTTTAGCCAGGAGAGGGTGGGCAGCTTTGAACATGGTGGTTCATTCCTGATAGACAAACAGACCTGGGGAGGGCAGAAGCTCCAGTGCCCCTGGCTGGCACAGGAGACCAACATATCCGATGATATGTTGCTTCCTGGCTGATCCCTGGACCACACAATTGAGCCCCAGAGTGTTGGTCTGGTTATCACGCAAGCAGTAGCAGAACAAGAGCCCCCCCCGCCCCCCTCAACATTTTCTCCTGAGGCCGGAGGAAAATTTGCTACAAACTGCAGTCCTGTGATACTGAGATGAGCGACTAGGAAGTGGGCTTCAGGCGTGGAGAAGAGTTTTGCCTGGTTGCAGAGACAGAATCAGGACATTGTCTTCCCAGAACTGTTTTTCCCTCCTCACCCAAGACTATGAGCACTCACAGGAGAGGCCTGGTTTCCCATCCACCCCGTACTTCCTCCACCCACCGTTCCTTTTTAAGATTTATTTTATTCATTTATGCATACAAGAGTTGGGTGTAAGCCAGAGGTGAGGGGGTGAGAGGATTCCCCAGAGATAGAGTGGGGAGCAGAACAGAGAGACTGACTGAGATACACTGCTGAGGGGAGCAGCAGGGAGACAGGTGAGGTCTGCTGCACCATGTGGGTAGCTCCGTGGCACGGGATTGAACTCAGGCTGCAGTGGCTGGTGATAGCTTGATAGTGCTGAGACTTCAATGCCACCAGGGAGACCCTTCTTCTGCTCATCTTGAAGAAACATGAAAAACCCCAAAAGTAAAGCTACAGTGCCATGGTTGAGGGGGAGTGAAGGGCATATGAAGGTGGGCACATTTCAGGCAACTCAGTGTGGAAAACAGGAATGAAGCTGAATCCAAGGTTGATGACTCATAATTGTTTTGACCCCTCTTCCTATCCTCCCCTGCTGTATACCTCAGACCTATGGTCAGCTTGCAAATTTTGTCTTTTTCCGGACTCTTTGTTTGGTTTCTTTATATTCCACATATGAGTGAATCCATCTAATATTTCTCTTTTTCCTTCTGACCTATTTCACTGTGCATTATCCCTTCTAGCTCCATCTATGTTGCTGCAAATGGAATGAGTTTTTTTCATTGCCGAGTAGTATTCCACTGTGTATGTATACATCTTCTACACACACTCATCTGTTTTGGGGCATTTGGGTGGTTTCCATATTTTAGCTATTGTAAATAGTGCTGGAGTAAACACAGGAGTGCAGGTTTCCTTTCAAATTCATGTTTTGTGTTCTTTGGGTAGATTTCTAGGAGTGGAATCACTGGATCATATGGCAGATCCGTTTTTAGTGTCTTGAGGAAACTCCACACAGCTTTCCATAGTTGCTGGGCCGGTTTATATTCCCACCAGCAGTGTAAGAGGGTCCTTTCTCCACATCCTCACCAGCATTTATTGTTTCCAGTTTTTTAATGTGGGCCATTCTCACTGGTGTGAGGTGATATCTCATTGTGGTTCTGATTTTCATTTCTTTTTTCTTCTTCAAATATTTATGTATCTATGCGTATAAGAGCGGGGGTACAGGCCAGAGGTGCGGGGGGTGAGAGGATTTGCCAGAGACAGAGTGGGGAACAGAACAGGGGGATCTACTGAAATCCACTGCTGAGGGAAGAAGTGGGGAGAAAGGAGAGGTCTGCTGCACCATGGGTGTCACCTCTCTGGCCAGGGATTGAACTCATGCTGCAGTAGCTGTGGATAGCTTCATAGTGCTGATGCTTTTACCCCTTGTGCTACCAAGGAGGCCCTGATTTGCATTTCTTGATGATAAATGACAATAAACATCATGTCACATTTAAAATTAACATCTGTGAAATTAACTTTTTTCTAAGGCATATAGCTATCCCATATATAGACTTGTGAAATTCGGCAAAGTACAGTATTACTGCTTTTTCTTTTTTTTGCCCCTTCATAGTTATGCTCTGAAATCAGGATGCAGAACAATTTAATTTAAGAAAATCTCTACTTCCCCTTTGTGGGTACAGGTATTAATATTTGTTTTCTACCTTGCCTTCTTACTATTTTATTCTCAATGTTTAAAACAATAATTGGCATAGAGGGAGCACTTGGTAAATGTCTGTTGAATGAATGAATAAATGAATGAATAAAACATGTTGATGACAGAAATGGAATTGACATTGCAGAAGCTACCAGGATAAATCTTTCCTGGGTCAGTGGACTTAATTTCTTTTTTCTTTTCTTTTTTTTTTTTTGTGGGACTCTTGCCGGCGGCCGGGGAACGAACCGGTGCTGCAGAGGTTGCGGGCAGCCTTGCAGCCCCGCGCTCAACCACTGCGCCACCGGGGAGGCCCTAATTTCTTCATATAAAACAAGACAAAAATAGTTTGGCTGACAAAATCTTAAGACATTTTTATTGTTGTGAGGTATTTTTCATTGCACAAAGCGGGGAAGGTGCTAAATAAATGCTTCATTCATTGGGGTGAATGTATAGAATGAGATTTCTAAAAATTTGATGAGCCCCCAACTTCTAATAGTTCCTCAGGTCTCCGAGAACTTCACCTTGCTCAGCCAGCACTGTGACAACTTGCTCAAATGTGGCAGGAGAACAGAGGACACTTCCTAGTAGAGCGATTTGTACATGCTTTTTGATTATTCCAAAAAGATCACAACCAGACTCAAAACAAACCCAGAACAAACTCCAATGTTCTTAAATTTTGGGTTCTATTATCCACTAGCAACTACATTTTTATCATCTCTCTAAGATGCAGCGGCAGATCTTTTCGTTCCACTTAGACAACCCAGTTTAATTCTCTTGGAAGGAAAACAGCAAAAGCAAATAAATGACTGTTCAAAGTCACTGTGGTTAAGATGATGTCAGGTCCTCAGCGCCATTTGAAAATTTTTTGGCCTGCTGTTTTCATTTTAGCTGTTAATCTCCACCTGAACAATGCTGTTACTCCATAGTGGGCATATGCAGCCTTCATGGCCTTTGAAGAGATTTTAAACGATGGAAAGATTCACTGCAAAGAAATATATAAAATGATACAGGAAAACACACAGCAAATACCTCCCATTTCCAGTATAAGCAGTATTACTACTCTGCTTTCCACAACCTGGCAGCTGAGAGAGGCCAAGCTTCCTTCTGGTTTAGAGATTCACGGTTCCTTTGACATTTTTCTTTTATTTAAAGATTATTTGTTTATTTATTCATGCATGCAAGAACTGGGTGTAAGCCAGAAGTGCGGGGTGGCGGGGGCAGGGGCGGTGAGAGGATTCTCCAGAGACAGAGTGGGGAACGAAACAGG